GTTTTCTGAAAACCTGGAACAAGTACAGAGGGTCTTACCAGATRTTTCAGCTTAATAATTTATCTCCCAGTCATCCTTTCATACAAAYACATCACTGGTAAGCGACTTTTTGCAAAGAAACTTTAAATATAAAACATAATGRAGCCATGTTTTGCAATGAAGTCATGAACATCTACCAGTTTTAAAATACATTTTGYYRGTCTGGTGGAGCTGTGTGGGGGAGGGGTGCTCTGTGGGGCRGGAGCTTGGSTGRGGACTGAGCTCCAGGGAGGAGCTTTGTGTGAGTAGGCGGTGCTTTGTACCAGCAAGYGTTTAGGCAGMTCCACATGGCTACCACAGGAGATTCAAGGATTTCTCAGACATGCATGAATGAGTCAAAGCAACACTCTGGTTATSTTTCATGAGAAAATGACGTTATAGCTTGGTATATACCGTAGCTCAAAAAAATTAAAATTTTGCATAATACCCTCCTCCATATACACACCACTGCCCTTAAAAGAATAAAATCCAACTGAAATGTATAACTCAAAAGTGAGCACATGACAATTAGAAGGTAGGCTTAATATTTCAGTTACCTGTAGCTGAAAGGAGCCACAGTGGCCATGTTGATTTTGGGTGTTTGTGTTTCTGTAGACTCCTTGGGATCTTTAAATCCAGACACAACCGGCATGGGGAATGAGAGGAGTGACAGTGGCAGAGGATCAGGAGAGGAGGCCACACTGCTGTCCTCAGAGGTTCCCATCTCCTCATCTGATTGGCTGGTGGAGCCGCTGTGACCTCTGGCGTGCTTGCAGCCCGGCTGAACAATGCTTGGGCGACTGTTGCCGTTGTTCGCTATACTAGACTGGAGCAGATGGTTTTCTGGAGGCTCCATGCCTCCTCTGGTTGGTAGAACCTCACTCATCTTCTGGGTTGGGTTATTGGAGGGGTTATTGGAGTTTTCACATCCCCTAAAATAGAGATTTGGACGCAGATAACTGGCTCCCCATGCCTGGTTGTTATTGCCAACGGCGCTTCTGTTGCAATTTTTATCATGTGAAAACTGTGAGGAGATGTGAGCTGAGCCGGTTCTTCCGAGATCCAGAGTGTCTTTGGAGTGTGGTGGTGCTTCGCGGCGCTGGGTCAACGGGCTGCTGTAAGCAGAACGTGATACCCGAGGAATATTGAAGGCTCCTGTCCGCTGGAGGAGCTGATTCTTCTGTCCRGCATCTCGCAGGTGCTCCCTGGAGGAAGGCCCGGGAATGTTGGAGTTCCGTGGGTGAAGTAAAGGAGAATGTGTGGGTGTGTGCTTGGGGGTGTTTATGGAGGTCCTGGGCAAGCCACTGGCCTGGCGGCGAGGATCTGGTTTTGGAGAACTGGGCATCAGGTTGCAGGGGACAGGGATTCCTGATGAGGAGGGCCCGTGGGGGGCTGACTTCACATGGACTCCCCCGCTCATTCTGCTGCACATGAAAAACACAGAGGGAGAAATGATCAAAAATAATAAAAGAGGCGTTTCACCTTTAGGTCATTTCCACAACAACAGTWTGAACCATTAGCCACACAGACCTCCCACAGAAGTTTGGTTATTTATTAAGTTAATCTCACTGTGTTAAAGTTTTACTAAAGTTTAACCTTWTCTAGAGGTGGGTTGTAACGATACAGTTACTTGTGTAAATAAAAAATACTTTAGGAGTAGTTTTACAACATCATACGTTTTACTTTACTTGAGTAATATCATTACAAAGTATTGTTACTCTTACTCTCTTTACATAATACTTTTTTACTTTTAGATGGTTAATTTTTTACTTTTACTTGAGTACAAATATGTTGAAGTGGTGATATTCTTATTTGTGTACAACTTGTGGGTACTCTAGTCACCTTTGACCTTATCTAACCTGATCTAGTGAAAATGACCAGTTTCTCATAGGAAACTAAGTCATGTGAATACAGCCCATTGAGTTCAATCGTGAATCTAATTAATTTTTATCAAAAGCAAGATGATTTTAGTCTGGCTCCTTCATACAATCTGAAAAACCTTAAATTATCTAGTTTCTGTTAGCTGGTGTAGTTTATCAAGCTGAATGGCATAGATTTGTAAAAACTAATAAAATCTGCATGTTATTTTTGTAATCTCTTACATAATCAGCAAATACTGCCGTTTGTGTTTCTTTCAACTGTTTTACTACTTTATGTGGCTCTGCTGAAAGGAAAGTAGACGGGAGGTTGTGGTGATATAAGAAAGACAGGATGGAAGGAAACTCACAAGGAAGTTAACATATAAATGTACAAAAGATTGTTTTGAAAATTACACAATTACACATTTAAAAAAAATCTAGATTATAACGTTGACGTTTGAAGATTGTCAATATTACGCTTGAGTACAGTTTGTTTTTGTGAGGTACTGTACAAAATGTTTTARGCTGTTTCGACAGCCTCATGTTTGAACCCATAACAAATCCCAAATAAAACCACAGGACCTCCTGCCACCGTCTGTTTGTGCCCCACAGAGTTCAACACTTTAGGACACGCAGTCAGTCCGGGACGAGGGAAAAACAGTGACGACAGCTGAATATAGATTTGACCTTATCTGGTTTAGCGATGTGTGCGAGGTTTATTGACTGATAAAATCTATATTTTTAAAAACATCTTGACTTTATTTTTAGTACTTAATACATGTGTGCAGTACTGAACCTAAGCTTTAGTGACAAACAGAAGGGACATGAAGGGACAGTGAGCTGGACAAAAAGATATTCATATTATGCTTGCATAAATACCTGAAATCTGAAAGAATATAGAGAGATTAGGCTGTTTCCTGGTTCATGTTTCATCATTATGACTGCTAATGACAACAGAAAGTAACACAAAAATGTGATCCTCCATCCTTCTCCCTTTCCATTCCTCTTTTAAAATTCCTCCTCATTCCAACAAAACACTTTCTCTTTGACTCTTTCCAGCTCACATTTTCTCTCGGGAGGTTCAAACACTAATGAGCCTCAGGGTTTCTCTGTAGCTCCAGGATGGATGTCCAGGAACACAGGTGCAGCATGGCTTTGTGTCTATCTGTATGGAAATTGGTCTGTCCCTGGGGACATACTGGGGTCAGACTGGAACAACAGCAGCCCAATATCCAGCCCAGAGGTTCAATAAAGAGGAGAGCAGGAAAAAGATGAGTGAAAATTAAAGAAAGACATTTCTATTCAAAACCTGTGAAATTTTCATCCATTCATTACAAGACTTCTAACAGCTTATATGAATCTTTATTTTTGATATCAAATATCTGAATTAGAATAAAATGTTCTAAAACAAACAAGTTATTCAAAATGCAGCAGAACARGCCCAAACCACACAACACTGCTTTATTGAGGACCTTTCCAGTCTCAGTTTCTGGGATTCTCAGAAATGTGTGACTGTGTGTGTTTGTGTGAGGAGCTGTGCTTGTGGCACAGCTGCCGTCCATCAGTGTGTGCTCATTTAAAGACTTCAGTCATTTTTTTAATAAATCTGTCACATTTGTAGCAATGTCCTGCCTGTACCGCAGGTACTTTGCCATCAGCCACCCCTCACCAGTTTGTTTTCTCAGTCAGGCCTACATCATGAACCACTGCTGTTCATCATAATTTTTCACAAACTGACAACACATTTTTGTTTTTAATTTTACATACAAAATGAATTATAACTCCAGCAGTTTTTAATTTATAAAAATCAAATTTGTTAAAACAGTTGCTCAAGTCTTAAMCACATGCTAAATACATCTTAAGTACAACTGAAAATATTACTTTTAAGCAGCTAAATACACAGGACGAGTTGCACAGCTGGCAACCCTCTCATAGTTTCTCCAGAAACTATTCTAGTTAGGATTGCCAAGCCTATTCAACAGAATGGGATAGCAGGGAAGCATTGCACCTCTGATCTACTGAGTTGCAGGTCCATTTTTTATTAACATGATACATGAAAATAAAATGTATCATGCATTTTAGATGAAATAATCAAACTTATTTGCCCCACATTCACATGCACAAAAAGTCAAATAAAATGTCATTTAACACTACCATGATGGTGCTGACATCTGCTGGATGTTTTGTAAAACTGCACCAACATAAACAAAAGCTGCTTCCTTTAGCTCTTATGTTTTAAGGTTTATTCTTAGAATTCAACAAAATGAGCTGATAAAAAATTAGTTCTACCTCCATTAACACAGACATTAATATTAATAATGTGTTTACTCTCTTTGAGTATAAATACAAGAAGAGCATAACAGCCAGGCAGTTGTTAATTTTTAACTTTATAATAACATTATTGTGTCCCAGCTTCCCCTGCTCTGCCCATTAGCTCGGACTGAACTGAGTTACTGTATGTTTAGTCAAAGAGACATGTATACYCCTTCCCACAGAACCATGTGCTCACCCTTGTGATGAACACCCTATGACTCATCACAAAATCAATAGATGAGGTGCTAACACAGGCCTCTCTGTTTCTGGGCTGAAGGACATTAGCAGTGTGTTTGTCCATCCCATCAAGTCTCCACCATGAACAGATATGGTGGTCTTCACAGAACATCACCCAGAACGGCACATGTAGTGAAAGACTATATAATAATCACTGGTTCAGATTTACTATCAATGTAAAGTGGTGCTGAAATAATTCCTGGAAATGTATTTTTTTCTAGGAAAAACATCACCAAAGACAAACAAATGATAATATCCAGAGCTTCTAAACCACTTATGATGAAATAAAAAGAGCTGCAGTCTCACGAGTCCCTTACATGTCAATGGGCCGCTCGGTTCTTCAGTTTCCCTCTGGGTCGAGTGGAGGCAAAAGCCGGCAGGAGGTAGGTCACACTTCTCCAACGTCTCCAGGAACAATGGACTGTTTTTTCCTGGATCACAGTTGCATCCTCAACCCTGTTTTCCCATTGGTTCACTGAGCCTCAGCATTCCCCAACACAGGAAGCTGTGACAAAACAGAAATGGCAAATCCTGCCAATGAGTGGGCAAAAGTAAGGTGGTGACTCACTTTCAAAGTCACTCTTCTTGGTTTAAAAAAGAAGAAAAAAATCAGTGTTCTCATCTTCTRGCAAAACAATAAAGAAGACTAAAGTAATCCGACACACACTTAAATGTTTCCTTTTTTAAATCAAATGAGCCGAGGTCTGTTTTTATAATCATGACTCAAATGAAGATTTATTGGGTCTGCACTGACCCACAATTACACATTCTCTCGTATTTAATCAGTCTTTAAAAATGTTTTTAAATAATCTAAACCCTTGGACTTTTAGACTGCTAAATGTGCTCTGAACCTTATTGGGATGTTTGTTTTGCTGTCACACATTCAGTTGTGAAAGTAAAAAAAAAAGACACTGATTTAAAATGCACAGGGGTGCCACCAGAAAATAAAAAAAGTTCCTTTTTAGATCAATTAATTTTAGTTCCAGCAGTTTCTTTAWACGTTTGTACAGTTTGGCTCCATATCAGGAAGAAGTACTGAAAAATGCATAAGGAGCAGAAACTAAAACACAATCTTCATCCAGCGCTCTCAACTGAATGATGCTACTGTAAAGATACCATTTATGCTGATTTAAGTCTTGGAGCCTCCACAACGCTGACTCAGGCTGATCAGGTCACCCCAGGTGATAAAACATCCCCAACTTCAACTCTGCTACTTTCTTCTGTTAAAAACCATTTTCACTTTGGAACAACCGCTACAGATACTTTCATCCTTCAACATCGCTTTTAATCATCTCAGTTTTTTTCTGCAAATAAAAATAACCTTGAATATAGCTGTAGAAATAACAAGTGATGCAAAATATTAAAGTGAACACAAGGTCTCACTCACCCTCTCCCCATGTCAGTGTACAAAGCAGCTCTCCTCCAGTCCGCCTGTGTCTTGATCAGTCCCTGCCTTGTCTACTTTTGTCAGACTGGCCAGCGAAACATGTGTATTTGTGTGTCTGTCTGTCTGTAATCTCACCTTCTATCACGTCATCCCGCTCCGCTGCTGCCGCAGTACGCCTGCAGCCATATCCCCGCCTCTCGTTTTCTTTTTCTTTTTTCCCCTCCCCTCATCACCCCAGTCTCTATCACACTCTCTCTCTCTCTCTCTCTCTCTGAGTAATGGACCTGTTGGCCAGGGCCCCTCCATCTCCTCCCTCTCACTGGGTGAAATATAAGCTCATAGCTCGCAAAGACAGGCTGGTGCATTAGCTGGATGAGAGTTGTGTGTGTGTGTGTGTGTGTGTGTGTGTGTGTGTGTGTGTGTGTGTGTGTGTGTGTGTGTG